GGTTTTAATGTTTTTGTCTTGTCGCTCCGGCCGGACAGGGCATCAACATTATGGTGAGGGGCGTAACATTTCTGTCACACACTTGAGGTATTCGGCCAATCACAACGCACTGGATCGCTGGCCAATCACAGCACACCTCGCTTTTCAGACCGATGAGCTTTATAAAAATCGACGCGTTTCAAAAAGGCGGGGCATAGAGAAGAAACAATAATGTACAGTATGTGGAAAATAATGTGTTTTTTTTTACTTTAAATCGCATAAACATTTCATTACACCAAATAATGTTCTTTTTAGCAGCATCATATGAGCCCTTTAAGTTTGCTTTTTAAAACAAATGGATGTTTACACCATGTCGACACCAATCGCGAGCAGCGCAGCATGGCGCGACTAAATGCAATAGAACCCATTATAATCAGTGACTCTGTCTACACTGGATGCGATGCGACGATAAATCCCCGACAGCAAACTGATGCTTCATTCTATTTATGATGTACTGACACACAGTTAAATGATTTTCAACAGTCGCTTTGTCGCGTCTAGTCTAGTCAGACTTTAGCTGCTGTGCCATGGCGTAACATGACAACTGTCACGTCTGGTGTAGACACGGTGTTAGTATGCGACAACAACAATCGTTGTCATTTAGGAATAAGAGTAAATGGGGTTTGGATCTAGATTATGACCTTTTAACGATTAATCGTACAGCTCTAATTTCTGATAATATATGCGTCTCCATATATTTCTGATAATATTTTTATAGAAACATTACACTTAATTCAGAATCATAATTATACATTGTATTAAAGGGATAGTTCACCCAAAAATAAAAAATTATGTCACCATTTACTCACCAAATCAGTTGATGGGCCCCATTGATTTCCACAGTAATTTTTTTTCCTACTACTGTATGGAAGTCAATGGCTACTATGAACTGTTTGGTTATCACCATTCTTCAAAATATATTTTTGTCTTCAACAGAAGAAAAAAATTCATACAGGTTTGGAAAAACATAAGGGTGATGAAGAGTAAATGATGGTAGAACTTTCATTTTGGGGTGAACTGTCCCTTTACGTAAATTATGTAAAATCAAATGAAGTAAAATTATTACATTTAGTAAAATCAAAACATCTCACATATCACAAAAGGTCAGTGAATCCATACCAGAAGTGACAGTGCAGTGTTGCAGATAAAGGACAATCCTCCTCCAAATGGCCAGTAATCAAGCTGCATTAACGGGCTGGCGATGAGGTTGCTAGCCGGCGTTCTCACTACTGGTTGCCTTCACAGCGAATCAGGTTTCTTGCCGCTAATTACAAACATTTTGGAGGCAAAAGACTAAATATAACACAAATACAAATTAAATCCATACATACAAACAAAAATGAATGAGAAGCAGAGCCTACTTTTTCCCATTGCATATGTTTATCTACGGCTGAGAGGAGAAAGATCACATGAGCTCTACCATCTTCTTTCCTACTGGCTGTTGCTCCCGAAAGTCACTCTTCATTTGCATAAAGTTGAAGAATTCTGAACTTTGTCGCATCGCTGGACACACCCCATCCGATCACCAACGGCCTCTGTCGCCGGAAATCACCAGCTCTCCATTGAAATGAATGGGATCGAGTTGCTTTGACGTTGCGTGTGGCTTGTAGAGTGAACGGGGCTTCAGCTGGATCCTTGGAGAATCTGGAGTGGGGTGGGTCCTTAATAAGAATGATTTTTTTTAACCATTCTTTTAAACAATCTTAAACGTATTTAAATTGTACTGCCATCTGACATTATAAGCCATTTAGACAACCTAAACAAATTCTCAGCTTTAAAACTGTAAGTAATGATTCAAAATTTAAACCTAATGCATGACAATCCCATCAGAAAAATGTGAATCCCCAAAAAAAGACAGAGGATTCACAAAAATGGACCTTTCCATAGAGATCATAGCAAGGTAAACACAACTGTAGCTTTAAAAAAAAGGCCAATTTGTACACCACAATCAAACCAACCTTCATATAATTTTCCCTGCAGCAGCATTTATCCTGATATGACACATCTGAAGGTTGTGATATTCTCCAGTGAATGAAATAAAGGACTGATGATGGTGACAAGTAGGGATGGGCGATACCACTTACTTTGTTTTCGATACGATACCGATATTTTTCAAGGAAGTATCGTCGATATCGATACCGATTCGATACTTCTGAACTAAACTTTTAAATTATGAAAATTATTAAATTACTAAGAGTAAAATTGGTAATCCGAAGCATCTCGAACAAGAGAGAGGGAGAGGTGGTGGGGGGATGGGATCTCGCAAGAAAGTTGTCAACACAATTAAAGTGGCTGCATTTTTTTTTGTGCTAAATGTCAGTGGAAAATTGTGTATAAATGCAGGAATGTCGGAATTTTTAGATGTTAAGTAATCCAAGTGTCAAAACAACAACAAAAATAATTTTAAAGACACATATGTGCACTATATATATCCATGTAATCACCCTATATGGGATTAATTATGTTTGCACTTGTATATTTGATAAAACAAATAGGGTCCCATGTGTAGCCCATTTTGAGCCCATGCACAAATTTCCCATTAATTACCCAACTAGGAACCACATGGGGAGCCCACCTGGGTTCACCCATGTGGGTCCTAGCTGGGTCACCCAAGTGGGCCCCAGATAAGATGCCCATTTTATGCCCATGCCCACTCTGTACACCTGTAGCCCATGTGAAACCCATTTGGGCCCCACATTAACGTGTTTGCTGGGTAATTGGCTTTCTGTAACCCGTTCTTCATATTGCACAGTGACCGTTTTCTGGATATTTTGAACCATTTGTATAGATTTTGAAATAACTATATGGAGATAAGCATGTGCTTTGCAGACCATTGCTGGTGGCACTCTGGGTTTAATTTGACTTGTATATTCCAGGGCTTTTCAACTGACTCATGAACTCTTCAACAGTCCTAAATGTACTGTTGAGTTTAGTTCTATCTCTAACCAAACACACCAAACAAGCTAATCGCAGTGTTCACAATTATTTGTGAATAAGAGACAGGTGTGTTTAATTAGTGTTGAAATTAAAGTCTGCTATAGGCCTACACCAGCTCTCCAGGACTGGAGTTGAGAACCAGTGGCCTATTCACCTTATGTAGCCCACCCTTTTTTAGTGCTGCGTTTGCTGTCTTCTGTGATCTGACAGATTTATAAATGAATCACTCGTTTTAAAATCTTCCTGGTCTACTGACATTTGTTTATCATGGAAAGATCAACACGGGACCATATCTTGACTTTGCTCTTCTTGAATTGAAAGACGCTGATGAAATCGCTGACTGTCCTGGATTGCTCAGTCGATACATTCATGGCCCCCCTCCTAACCGTGGTGGGATCTGCGTTGTGGGACATCCGGGTGAAGGGGTCAAGAAAATAGACCCCTGTTTCATCATTGGGAAAGAGAATCTACAAGAGGCTGCAGATAAACACATCTCTGAGAATCTCAATTTCATTCACGTGATGACACAGCAGTCTTTTGCAGAGAAATGGGAAATGCATGACAACCAGATCATTTATAACTCTTGTTTTTTTCACGGATCTTCTGGCTCTCCAGTTTTTGACGAAGATAGCTATCTGATTGGCGTGCACACCGGTGGCTATGCGTACAAAGGAGAAAACTGTAAAACTAGGAGCCTTATGGAATACGCCTATTCCATGCAGCCCATCCTGGAAAGCAGCATCACACAGGCCTAGAAAAGTGAGAGATCCGACATCTTGAAATTACTCTCTGAATATAAATCTTTAAATCTTAACTTGGAAGACAATGATGTTGACATGAAAGAAGATCCACAAAATCAGGAAGCTTTTATATGAGTAATGGGACAGTACAATCTTGAGTCCTGATTGATGTCGAATCCATCTATTTTTATGAAATATAAAACTTTTCATTTATCTTGAGGTATTCAGGCATGTTCAACATACAATTTAATTCAATGATGTATCAATTCTGTATGATCACTGGATGCCTTTAGGCAAATGTGTCCAACTATTCATCCTTATCATTGGTTATGAGTTCGTATTTTCATTGTTAATCTGTTCTTTGTGTAACGTACATTCTGTTTCATTATGTAGCAACCAGAAAACAAACTACATCTTTGTTAGATCAGACAGCATTATTGTGTTTGTATAATTCCAAAGGATAAATTATATTTAGCTTAAATTCTAGAAATCTGGTAGATCGACCAAAATGAAAATTCTGTTATAAATTATTCAGTCTCATATAATTTCATACCTGCACGACTGACTTTCTTCTGCAGAACACAAAATATATTAAGAAATAAATTGTTTGGAAAAGCACGATTAAATCATGACAGGATTTTTGGGTGAACTATCCATTAAGGGGTTAACAATAAACATTGTTCTTAAATATTTTTGATTGCTCCAGCACTGTTCAATGCTGCAGATATTTGTACTTTCTGCTGCTTCTGAAATACGCCTACAGCTGCATGTATACACTAAAATCAAATGCTTTATATATATATATTATATATATATATATATATATATATAGAAACTTTTTTATTTCATTTAGTTGTAAAGGCAACATTTTAATTTTAATTTAATTTAGTTTGATGTACTAAAATAAAAAATAAAAATAAATTAAAAACTATAAAAAATAGACATATATAAAAATACTAAAAATGACAAAAACACACAACAAAATGACTAAAAATGTACTTAAAGATAAAAAATAAAAACTGATTCAAAATGTTAATAAAAACAATTCT